TGCCGGCCCGGCCGGGCATGAACTTCGGAACCGATGGCCGTCACTGAGATGCTCACACTGCCGCGACTCTACAAGCTCCGTCCGAGCCCAGGCCGTCACTCCCGGCTAACGAGAAACCTTCGAATGACGCCGCCAGTAGCAGCGCATGACCGGGTCACGAGGTGCAAAGCAACATGCGGTTGATCAAGCGATGCGATTTTACTCCCCGGTATACCCCGACAGGCGTCCGATCCTTCTATCTGTCCCAAGGTCACGGTACCATTTGTCCGACCTTGGCAAGGTCACGGTACCAACTCCTTGACTTCCGAGTGTATCCCCTTCCAAGCGATGCGATTCACAGCCTCGCGCCGGCGTCAGCTCCGCCGTCAGCCGGCCCCGCCCCCTACCGCATAAAAAGGCCCTGCCCCCTTGCTCCTGCACATCACTGCTTCCCCGCTCCTGTAAGCCCCAGCAAGCTCCCTCCAAGCTCCAGCCTCCCCCCCTTTCACACTCGGTCTCCCGTTGCGCTCCGCTGTCCTCAAGCCTCCTTCCCTTCTGTCTCCGCCCCAGAGCCCCCTCTGCTTGTCAGCCCTCCCCGCTGCTCCCCTTCCTCCCTGCTACTCGTCCAAGACCCGCGCTGGCGTGCCCTTGCTCGCTGATCGTCTGCTGATGGTGCCATACACGTCGACTCTCACCGCTGACCTCTCCGCCTCCTCCCGCCTGGGCCTTGACGACTCCTCCATCCCGGCCGTCTTCCTCCAGTACTACGGCTGTAGCCCTACTCCCTGCGTCGTCTCGGACGAGCTCAACCTCGTGACGGACTTCAGGTAGACCCTGGACAAGCCTCCGGCGCTGAGAGCCCCGCCAGCCCGACGGGCGGCACTAGGCAGGAGGCTGTAGACTATGTACAGGAATAAAGCAACACGTTGCCATGCCTCCCCATCCCCTCCCAGCCCGCCCCCCCCCCTCCCTTTTCCCCACACCCACTCTGGCCGTGAACAGGACCGTGAGCTCCATGCGGGAGGGCAGGCGATGCATCGAGATAAGGCGACCACATCAAGAGCGAGGCATCGGGTCCAGCCTGGAGGGCGTGAGAGACCTGCCTTGCTGACTGTCTCACCTCGGTCATGGCCCCTCCAGGTACGGTACGGTCCGCTCGCGCGCACTCATCTCCATCGTGAGGAGCATGGCAGGTGGGCCCGTCTAGCGCTCAGGAGGGCAGCAAGTCAGGGAGGGCGGAGAACTGAGCAATGCAAGACCAAGGCGGGGGGCAGGGGGGGGGGGGGTCGGAGGAGATGTCATGGTCGTCAGAAGCTACGGGCCATGGATGTCCCGACACTGCTGGTCGGACAGGTCTGGGAGAGAGAGAGTGCAGCCGCTCCCGCAGCTTCTTGATCTGATGCCCGTCGCAGTGAGCCATGCGGATCAAGTTGCTTCTACCAAACAGCCAGCACTTATGCCTGAGTAAGTTGCTAGACCGTCCCCATACTACACTTGAGCCATTTACAGTGAGGCTACTACCAGGGCTTGCCGGGCTAGGCCACCGTCCGGCCGGGATGTGCCCGGCCCGGTCCGGCCGGGCAAGAGTTGATCCGGATGGCCGTCACTGAGATCAGATGCTAAAACTGCCGCGACCGTACGGTCCGATCTCTACAAGCGGCCCCGTCCGAGCCCAGGCCGTCACTCCCGGCTAACGAGAAACTTCCGAATGAGTGTCACGAGGTGCCAAGCAACATGAAGTTGATGAAGCGATGCGATTTCACTCTCCGGTATACCCCGACAGGCGTCCGATCCTTCTATATGTCCCAAGGTCACGGTACCATTTGTCCGACCTTGGCAAGGTCACGGTACCAACTCCTTCGCTTCTGTATCCCCTGCCAAGCGATGCGATTCACAGCCTCGCGCCGGCGTCAGCTCCGCCGTCAGCCGGCCCCGCCCCCTACCGCATAAAAAGGCCCTGCCCCCTTGCTCCTGCACATCACTGCTTCCCCGCTCCTGTAAGCCCCAGCAAGCTCCCTCCAAGCTCCAGCCTCCCCCCCCTTTCACACTTGGTCTCTCTTGCCTCCGCCTGTCCTCAAGCCTCCTTTCCTTCTGTCTCCGCCCTAGAGCCCCCTCTGCTTGTCAGCCCTC